AGCAAAGAGCCACATAGACACAGTTCTTAAACTCATAGAATTTACTACTTACATTTATGGAGACCCACTGTTTACTAGTGCCAATAAAGAACAAAACTGATACAAGTTTTCCCCCTCAAGGAGGAGATCACGTCTAGAGTGGAGACATACAAATCCACAGGCAAAGAGGGAGATAAAGTGAGGCAGAGAGGAGGGGCCTCTAACACAAAAAGGGAGTCAGAGACCCCCTACTCTCTCCTCCCCCGATACCAGTGGACGGCAAAGCAGATGGTATTTGTGAGTACAAGCGAGGGAATCAACCAGACAGAGACATGAGCTTCAGGGACAGGAGTCATTTATTGTTTGGGGACTTTTCCATAAAAGTCATTCTCACTGGAGTTAAGTGATATCTCATTGTGGTTTGGATTTGCATTTCCTTGATGATTAGAGATGTTGAGCATTTTTTCATATGTTTTTCGGCCATGAGTCTGTCTTCTGAAAAATTTCTGTTCATGTCCTTTGCCCACTTTTTAATGGGTTTGTTTGATTTTCTTCTTGTTGATTTTCCTGAGTTCTCTATATATTCTAGTTATCAGCCCTTTATGGGATGTATAGCATGTGAATATTTTCTCCCATTCTGTAGGTTATCTGTTTGCTCTCATGATAGCTCTCTTGGCTGTGCAGAAGCTTTTTAATTTGATCAGGTTTATTTAGTTTTGTTGTTGCTGTGATTGCCTTTGGGGTCTTCTTCATTAATTCTTTCCCTAGGCCAATGTCTATAAGAGCTTTTCCAACATTTTCTTCGAGAATTCTTATAGTTTCATGCCTTAGGGTTAAGTCTGTTATACATGGTGAGTTGATTTTGGTGAGAGGTGAGAGGTGCAGGTCCTGTTTCAGTCTCCTGCATGTGGCCATCCACAGAGCTGCTTTCATCCAGATTCTAGAGCTGAGGATGAATGTGGTGCCAGGGGAGACATTTTGTTGTCTTTCTTTGGGAGGGAGGTTGAGTGCATGTTATGTAGGTGTTGGTGGTTTGGAAAGTATTTGAATGAAAATTTATAGTTTTATAGATTTCAGTAACCAAAAAGGGCTAGACTATAGAGGGCACTGCTGTTTTTAGTACTGAGCATCCTTTTTGCCCTTTTTCTGGTAGCTATATCCTAATTTACCCCTAATTTAGCTATACCCCTAAATTACCCACTCCCTTTCCTACTCTGGAAAACTGCATTGCATTTGGTGGTTTCACACAGTGATGAGTGTTGTGGCTTTGGCTTAAACTAATTGGCATGTCCCATTTCCCTGACCCCAGTCATTGGTTTGAAGATTTAATTCTAGTCAATTTTAATCAGTTGTCTTACTCAGAAGTACTTATTGGACTTGAATTTGAGAAGATGGTAGAAGATGCTATAGCCTTATTACAAACACCTGGAGAGAGCCTAAGATTGAAGCCAACATGAAGGGAAGTGGAGTAGAGAGAATCTTCTGGGAGCTGTAATTTGAGCCCTTGATTAAATTGCACGTGAAAATAACACCTATTGGTTTAGTTAGCACTCTCAGTTCTTGCATATTTCAGGCTGTTTTTTGTTTTTCCCCCCACAAGATCATCTGGGCAGTGCTTCTATCAGAAGCTCCAACCCTGGGCCTGGGAATGAAGTCCTCTTGGAGGGACTAGAATGAAGCAGCAGAGAGCTGACTTCTGAAGACTTGGGTTTGCACCTCACTGTGCCACGGACTTGCTGTGTTAGCCTGGGCAAGTGGGCTTACTTCTCTGAGGTTCCATTTCCTTCTCCTTAAAATGGGATGTCAAAGTGCTTGGTCCACTGTGAGGCTCTGGGTGCATGCACAGTGTCTATTTCTAGGATTATTCTTCAGAAAGGTTGGCTCTTTAAGGTCAAATCTCAGCTAGAATCCCAGGCTTGGGGCCTGGAAGGATCAGAATCTGTTCCAATGCTCTAATCTTAAAAATGGCCCAGAGAAATGATAAGTTCTACATCAAATGGTGGAGAGCTGGGGTTCCAGCTCGGTAACCCGAGTCCAGTATCATCAGCATGTCGTCTCTCTAGCTGACCACGGGGCCTTGGAGGCCAGAAGTGATACTGTCAGGTGTGAGACCTCCATTATCTTTCAGGCACCCTGCTCTGCTTGGGTCACAGAGATTCCCTCATAGTGATGCTCTCATGTTGACCCCTGGCTTGGACACAGAACTCTCCAGTGGTGGTGATGACCAAGGCGTTGTATGCCATGGCCACGCCAGATCCTGCCACCTCCTGTCATGCTGCAAGGGGAGTTTCTCTGAGACTCATTTTCTCATTTGTGAAATGAGATGGCATTAGTATCTACCAAGCCCTACCAAGTTTTGTGTGAGGGCTAAGTGTTATACAACATGCAAAGCACTTAATACTGTGACTGGCTCAGTAAGTGCTTTCCCAATAAATATTAACGACGGTGATTATAATAATTGTCTAAAGTAACACAGCTCTTAAATGGTGAAGCCAGGCCATATCGAACCCAGGGCTGGCTGGTTTCAGAGTCTGTCATGTTTGCAGGATCCAGGCAAAAGGAGGTGGATTCTAGTGATTTGGGGAAATATTTTCCCAGGCTGATTCTAGTTCTGTTCTAGAGTTTAATAATAATAATTCAGTTTTTCTTTTCCTTGTTTTCTTCCATACGTAGTCATGTTGGCAGTTTCTTACTGTCCAAGACTTATTTTTCCTTTTGTTTTACCAGATTGCTACAGTTTTGTTTTTCTTTCTTTTCTTTTCGAGATAGGATCTCACTCTGTTGCCTGGGCTAGAGGGCAAGTGGTGTCATCATAGCTCACAGCAACCTCAAATTCCTGGGCTCAAGTGATTCTCCTTCCTCAGCCTCCCAAGTAGCTGGGACTATAGGCATAGGCCACCGCCCCCAGCTAATTTAAAATGAAATTTTTAAAATAAAAATTTTTCAAGAGACAGGGTCTTGCTATGTTGCCCTGGCTGGTCTCGAACTTGTGGCCTCAAGTGATCTCCTTTAAAGTATTTCCTAATGATATACCACAGCCTCTATTTCATCAACCTTAGGCTACATGGATGCCTTGCCCAAGGGAGACAGAAACGCAGCCTTTGAAGGAATAAATTGCAGAACCCTGATCTGCACACCAACCATCTCTTTAGACGGGATTTCATAGGCAGACACCTGAGATCTACCACTGTCGGTTATTTCCTCCTGCTGCTGCTTTGATGGGTAGGATAGTTTTCACCCTTGCCCAGAGTCTGCTTGACCACCCCAACCCATGTGAATGTGAGCCTAAAAGGACAGTTCACCTTTCTAGGTTTTTTTTTTTTGGTTTTTGAGACAGAGTCTCACTTTTGTTGCCTTGGCTAGAGTGCCATGGCATCAGCTTAGCTCACAGCAACCTCAAACTCCTGGGCTCAAGCGATCCTTCTGTCTCAGCCTCCCAAGTAGCTGGGACTACAGGCATGGGCCACCATGCCTGGCTAATTTTTTGTATATATGTATTTTAGTTGGTAAATTAATTTCTTTCTGTTTTTGGTAGAGATAGGGTCTCGCTCAGGCTGGTTTCAAACTCCTGACCTCGAGCGATCCGCCTGCCTTGGCCTCCCAGAGTGCTAGGATTACAGGCGTGAGCCACCACGCCCGGCCACCTTTCTAGGTTTTATTAGGACGAGGATGATTGGCTGGGGAGGAAATGCAAAGCTTGTAAAATTCAAACTTGCTTGGGTGGAGAAATGCTAAGAAGGGGTGGTCAGGCCATCTGCTTGCCTCTAACGTGAGATCTGGCTGCCACTTCTGTCACCCATGGACCTCCAGAGGTGTGGGAATGACCCCACTGTCCCCTGTTCTCATCTCTTTCTCAGTCTCAGCGCAGTGGTGTTCTTGGCACACTCTCTCCACCACGCCGGGCTGCTTCCCCAGGACTCCTGGCTTCTGTGTCCCCATTCCCCTTTGGTCATTATGGGATATTTTGTGTGTTTCATTCAAAGGCACATTTTAGGTTAAGTTATAAAGGCAAGCGCAAAGGTGAGAAAATTGGCCGAGGCTCCTGGGGTGAGTTTCTGGCCTGGGAGGAAGGAAGGTGAAATGGTGTCTCAGAGCCACAGTTTCCATCTTGGGACAGGTGGAGGAATTGAGGCCCAGAGAAAGGCAGGGGCTGCCTCACTCACGCAGCATGAGCCATGAGAACCTGGTCTCCTGCCAGAGGCTGAAAGAGAGTTCAGTGTTCTTTTCTTTTCTTTTGAGACTGTGAAACATACTGAATTTTAGCTAAAATCAGTGAATTTTAGCTGAGGGTAAAGATGGTATCTGCTGCCAGAACAGAGAGACCTGGCACACACCTCGCTCAGACCCGAGCGATGGGACACCTGCTCTGGACCTCACACTTCAGGGGCCCGTGTGCTTTGGAGCACTTTCCTCAACATTGGCCCTGCTCCCCTCCGGTGCTGAGGCCAGCCAGGACCGACAGCGCCATGGGGGCAGATAATGCAGGGCACTAAATATCTGCTGGTCAAGGGACACATCATCTGTACCTTTGAGAAGGAAATTGCATGGAGCGATCGGCAGAGTTTCGCAATGCCTGAGAGACTTAGGAGCGTGAGAACTTGGGAGGTATCGTACAAAGTCTCAGCTGGGCGTCTACAAGTCTGGTTTCAGGTCCGAGTCAGGTAGCATCTTTGCAACTGACCTCTTCTTCCCTTCTCCACCTACAAGGCTAATAGGCCTGGACCCCATGATGTTCAGGGCTCAGATGGACGCCTGAGATGGCCTCCTGATCAGCCTGTTAACACCCTTCTAGGCCAGTCCCTTCCCTTTCTTCTCGGGTATTCTGTGGGCCTCACAGTCTTGCCTGGAACAAGAAAGAGCCACAGTCTCCTTGGCATCTGGATTTCTGGTCTCTGGCTGAGCTTCCTGCCTACGCAGTAACAACTGGGTGGGGCCAAGAAAGTTCTGGTGGGGCCACGCCCACCTGTGAAAGTATAAATAACAAGCTTTGGCATTGGCCATCAGAGCCACTTGCCTTCAACATGAAGTCTAGTGGCCTCTTTCCCCTTGTGGTGCTTCTTGCGCTGGGAACCCTGGCATGTTGGGCTGTGGAAGGTTTCCAAGTCAAGAGTTGGAGTCTCCTGAGCTGCAGGGTCAGAGATGGGGTCTCTTGGTGGTGTGGGTATGTCCCCTTCTCTAGCTCTGATCTCTCAGCTTATGTCAGGAGACCTCCCAGAAGGTGGAGTATATGTCCATGGTCTCCCTGAAGGCTTCCGAGCATCTGGAAGTGCTTCCTTTAGGCTCCTCCCTCCTCCCCTCCCTTCTCCAACCTTGTCCGTGACTCTCCAGTCACCAGTCTCTCCCTGGTTCTCCTCTGTCTCTGCTTCTGCTCTTCAGTGGCCTCAGTCCTCAACATCTCTCAGGCTGGCTCTATCTTTATTTCTCTTGCTCTCCTCTCTGCCTTTGTGTATCTTTGTTTTGCCCTCGGGCAGGAGACCTTGCCTGGAAGCCCTCTGCTATTTTCCCAGGTCTGAGACTTCTCCTGTCCAAGTGTCTAGTTTAATCAAGCCTGTCAGTCTTCCCTGATACTAGATGGGCATGTCCCTTTGGACTTAGTGGACAGCCACTGAGGTGAGGGTCTCTCCTCCTGGAAAGTGGTGCTTTGTCCAGGAGTCAGGACGGCTACTCAGGCCCCAGCCCCCTCCTGACCTCTGGACCTTGTCTTTAAAAGGTGTGGAAGCTGGAGTGTGCCCTTTTAAAATCCCTGTCCCGTGCTTTAAAAAAGAGGAACCCGAGTGTTCTAGTGACTGGACTTGTCCCGGGCCAAAGAAATGCTGTTCTCATTATTGTGGCATCAGATGTCTGGATCCTCATAAGATCTCAAACTCATGTGAGCAGGTGGGGGAGCTGGACAGAGAGGAGTGACCCAAGGACACAGCATCCAGGGGGATGGGACTGGACTATGGGTCCTACCAGGCCTCCTCCTTTCCAAGACTTGTTGAGCCCAGTTTATCAGTGGGTCAAGGAGTCACACTGCACCAGGCAGGAAGTTAGCCACTTGGCTGGGGTGTCCCAGGTAATCATCAGGGCATTCAGGTAGCCGGGCGGTAGGAAGCGTCCCACCCTGCCAGCATGGGACAGCTGGGCACCTGCATTGACTGGGGGGCTGATGTTGGAGGGGAGCCGGATGCCACCTTCAGGGGGTGCCTTAGGGAGGAGGTGGCAGGGATGGGGATGGGGAGGAGATGATGCCCCCACTCAGGCTGGAGCAAGGGGCTCAGCCTAAGAAGCAGGGGCCGGTGTCTAAAGTACAAGGCCTCTGACCTGAGGGCATGCTCTCATCAGTGAAGGAGAAGCCTGGGGAGTGTCCGTGGGTCTATGGCCATTGTCTGCTGGTTAACCCCTACGATTTCTGTGAGAGTGATGGCCAGTGCCAGGATAAATTCAAGTGCTGCAAGCGTATGTGTGGGAAGAGCTGCAGTTTCCTTGTGAAAGGTAAGCCGGTGGCTGGGACAGATCAAGCTTCCTCCCTCCAGCCCTTCTCAGCCTCACCCCACTGGAGGTCCAGCTGTGTGGCAGAGGGACTCCTGATCCTTACCCCGAGCAGAGCCTCTGTCTGGCTCCCCTGTCCTCCCAGAGCACTGTTCCCTAAGCCTTAGGGCAAGGATTTCCAGTGTCACCTGTGGCTTTGATTCTATTCCAGCCTTTCCAGGTGAGAGCCCTGGGCAAGGGATTTTCTGAGTCTCAGTTTCCTTATCTGTAAAATGGACATAACGAAATTGAAAGTGCTTTGTGAAGCACTGTGTGCACTAAGTATTTATTATTCAGGTTATTTCCATCACACTGTTTAGGGTTAAAGCCCAAAGGATCAATGGAGTTTGAGGATAATCTAGTTCAGTGCTCTGAGTTTAGAGCTTTACAGTGAAAATGAGACTTGAACTCAGTCTCTTGACACCAAGACTCTTTCAACTAGACCACCACCTTGCTATTCGCTCCATCTTGGGGGGGTCTTTGGAAGGGAAGAATGGGGAGATGGTTTGACTGGTTCCTATACTGAAGCTCTTCTCTGAATTTCTCTCACAGTCTGATTCCTGCCGCTGGAGGAGGCTCTGGAGATCTACTCTGTTTGGCCTGGGAGCTCCCTTTCTGCTCCGGACTCGGATGGATGGGCACTCTGTGCTGAGGGTTTGGTTCCACCAAACCCACCTTGGGGAAAGGCTCGGCACACAGTAGGCTTTCAGGAAATGCCAGTTGAGCAGTGAATGAATAAATGAGGCTATTTCTCTCTGTGCATCCTGCTTCTGTAATTCACTGGGAGTATGAGTAGGGTGGGCGGCAGCGAGGGAAGGTCTGGATATGAGTCTTCCCTCCTACAGACAGGAGGGGAGGGAAGAGCCTTAGGGGGCTGGGCAGACTTGAGCTTGCATCATGAATCTGAAGGTACTGGCTCTGTGACTTTGGACAAGTGACTTTATCTCCTAAGTCTCAATTCCTTTATCTGGGAGGTGGCAATACAAATCAGTTTCTCGCAGTGTTTGGAGCACTGGGGAATGCATCGTAACAAATAGCAATGTTACTGGGCCGTGGCAGGTTCTCCGAAAATGTTGGCCGCTTGCTGCCTTCTGGGGTGATTTTGAGTCTCTTTCATTTCTTCTCTCTCTTAAGACACTATTTGTTCCATTTGCAGGTAAGAATATTGCCATAATGGATCACGTGTATGAGGTGCTGTTGGCCAGGACGGGCAAGGGTGGTGGTGTTCTTGACCTACGGAGCACTAGTAACAGTGGCGATTGCTGGGGTGCAGGAGCAGCCAGAGAGTTCTGCCCCACATTGCTCTGTGCTCCTGGACTCTAGCAGAGACCACTTGATTAGATAATGATCAAAAAGATAAAATACTGTAATTCCATCCTTTCTTGGAGAAGGTCATTGAACTAAGAAAATATTCCTTACTACTTTCAACCAGTGCTCCAAGAGCAGTAACTGGATGTATTACGTTAACCAACCGTTCAGTGAACAGGGAAAACGGGAAGGGCCATGTTATTTATTTTATGAGTGTGGTAGACACCCTCCAAGTTGGGCCCCGATGATCCTCGCTCCTTGGTACTCACAACCTGCAGAGGCCCCTGCCATGTTTCTCCAAGGTTGGGCTGTGTGACCCATAAAATACTGCAGAAGTGAGAGATGGTTACATCCTTACGAGATTAGGTGATATTAATACAAAGCCTCCAGCTTCCACTGTGGAAGCGTGCTCTCTCATTTCAGTCCCTTACTCTGGGGGAATTCAGTGGCCACGTCATGAGGACACTCGGGCCATTTGTGGAGTGGCCCACAGGGTGAGGAACTAACACTCCTGGTGAGCGAGCTTGGAAGTGGATTTTTCAGTCCGTCTCTGCCTTGAAATGACTGCAGTCTCAGCAGACAGCTAGACTGTCGCCTCATGAGAGACCCTGAGCCACCCAGTTCAGCTATTCCTGGATTCCTGACCCTCAAACTGTGAGATAATGTTCGCGGTTTTAAGGTGCTGCATTTTGGGGCAACTCGTTATGCAGCAATTAATAACTAATACAGTGAATTTGGCATACATTTGGTACTACAACTAAATATGGACAGTAGGAGAAAAGATAATTATGAGCCAATGTCTCCTTCTAAACATAGGTGTGAAGATCCTAAATAAAATGTTATAAGCTAAAATTCATCAGAGTTTCAAAAGCTTTCCTGAGATTCAATGTGAATGTGAATTCTTTGTTAAAATTAAGAATAGAAGTGAAAGAATAGAAATTAATCCAAATAAAAGGAAACCCACCTGAAACTCTGTGGCAAAACCTACATTCAATTTCAGAGGAATTATCACCCAAATCAGAAAGAGAATAAGGGTCACCGCTATTTTTCAACAATGTATGAGATATATAAAACTATGTAAAGAAATGAGATAAAGGAATAAGATGTATAAGATTGGGAAAATAGTCCTTATTTGCAGACAGTATTATTTCCTACCTAACAATTTAAAACATGCAAATAATATTGATAAAATAAGATTTATCCAAGTTGCTGGGTATAAGGCCTATATAAAATTTTATAGAATTTCTATACCATTATCCATAACCAATCAGAAATAATAGAAGTAGAAATAAATAATCAAAAAAACAAACTCTACAAAATAACCTAGAAATAAACCCCAAATTTGTGCCAGACTTTCATGGATTAAAATACTTTTTTTTTACTGGAGGTCTAAAATACAAACTCAGTAGATGAAGAAATAATATTTGTATCTGAGAAGACTTAATAAGGTAAAGATGGAAATTTCTTTAAAATCATTTCTAAATCCAATGTAATTGCAATAAAAACCCAATATGATCTTTGAAATGAACTTTAAAAAGTTATCTTACAGTTAATATATTAATATAAAAGTTGCAGAAGAGCCAATAAAAATTTTAAGAAGTACAAGAATGGAAGCTGGCCAGACCAAGTATCAAAACATGGCAATGGTATAATAGTTAATGTAGTATTATTTTGGTACTCAAATAAGCAAATAGTCTAATGGAACAGAATATAATGTCTAAAAGGAAACCTGAGCATTTGTAGAAATTTGTTATATGTAAAGGAGGAATTTTTACAACTGAGTAGGACAAGCTCAAACTAGTAATAAAAGCATTTGGCTTTTTCTCTTTTTACAGTTCGAACTGCCAAACTTTTATTGTGTTTACCAGTAAACCTTAACATAGTTATTTGATTTCCATTTATTATTTTCAGCCACTAATTTTTAAAATTTATTTTTATTTTTTAATTGACAAATTATAATTGTATGTACTTATGGGGTACAAAGAGATGTTTTAAAATATGTATACAATGTGGAATTATTAAATCAAGCTAACATATTCATTACCTGACATACTTACCATTTTTTTGTGGTGAGAACATTTGAAATTTACTCTCTTAACAATTTTGAAATATACAATACATTATTACAACATATAGTCATCATGCTGTGCAATAAATCTCAAAGTTTATTCTTTCTGTCTAACTGAAACTTTGTATCCTTTGACCAACATCTCTTCCTCCTAACCCCCAGCCTCTGATAACTACTATTTTACTCTACTTCTATGAGTTTGGCCATTTTAGAATCCACATATAAGTGAGATCATGTGGTGCTTGTCTTTCTGTGCCTGATTTATTTCATTTAGCATAATGTCCTCCAGGTTCATTCATGTTGTCACAAATGACAGGATTTCCTTCTTTTTCAAGGCTGAATACTATTCAATTGTGCATATCTACCACCTTTTCTTTGTTTGTTCATCCTTTGATGTGCACTTAGGTTGATTCCATTTCTCGGCAATTGTAAATGCTGCTGCAATGAACACAGGAGTGCAGATGTACCTCTGACATACTGACTTCATTGCCTTTGGATGTATACCCAGGAGTGGGATTGCTGAATCATAAGATAGTTCTAGTTTTTTGAGGAATCTTCATTCAGTTCTCCATAATGGCTATAGTAATTTACATTAACACCAACAGTGTACAAGAGTTATCTTTCTTCCACATCCTCACCAACACTTGTTTCTTTTGTCTCACTCATTCTCTCTCTCACATTCTTCTATTTCTTTTTAATATATTTTTTTCTTTTTTTAGACAAGAGTCTCACTCTGTTGCCCCAGCTAGAGTGCCAGGGCGTCAGCCTAGCTCACAGCAACCTCAAACTCCTAGGCTCAAGCGATCCTCCTGCCTCAACCTCCTGAGTAGCTGGGACTACAGGCACTGCGCCTGGCTAATTTTTCTAGTTTTAGTAGAGACGAGGTCTCAGTCTTGCTCAGGCTGGTCTCAAACTTCTTCTTCTTTTTTTTTTTGAGACAGAGTCTCACTTTGTCACCCAGGGCTAGATGAGTGCCTTGCGTCAGCCGAGCTCGCAGCAACCTCAACTCCTGGGTTCAGAAATCCTACTGCCTCAGCCTCCCTAGTAGCTGGACTACAGGCATGCACCACCAGGCCTGGCTAATTTTTCTATAGATATTAGTTGGCCAATTAATTCTTTCTTTTATAGTAGAGACGGGTCTCGTCTTTCTCAGGCTGTTTCGAACTCCTGACCTTGAGCAATTTGCCCGCCCCTTGGCTCCCAGAGTGCTAGGATACAAGCATGAGCCACTGTGCTTGGCCTAAAAAAATCCTTGAGCAATTTGCCCGCCTGGCCTCCCAGAGTGCTAGGATTACAGGCGTGAGCCACTGTGCACTGGCCTGAAAAATATGTCATTATTCTTATTTACACTTGTTTTCATGGAGGATAAGCTTACTATATAACATTGTTTTCACTTAATATTACTGACAAATCACTCCATCTCAGTGCATTCAGACCTTCCTCATTCTTTTTTAAATTATGTAATAATATTCTATAGTGTGAAACATATAAGTTTATTTCATCTCATCGGCTAGTCCTGCTTAGATGGACATCTTTTGCTATTACAAATAGGTCACAAATTCTGTTAACATAGTTGTTGACATATATGTCATGGTAGATTTCTAAAAGTGAGATTTATGAAAGGACAAATGCATATGCAAATTTATTAAACATTGCTAAATTCTCATTCCTGGGTATTGCACATTCTGTATCTTACCAAGTACTATGTATGAGAAAGACTATTTTTCATACCTTGCAATCGATTTTGCTGTCAGGCTTTTAGATTTTTGCCAAAAAACCATCTAAGATATAATCAATACTTATTTATATCATACATATAGATAGAAAATGATCTCATAGGTGGATAGGAAATGGTATCTTAATATAGTCCTTAATGTGCTTTCTCTTACCATGAAAGGTTGATTTTTTTTTTTTTAATTTTAAGGGCAATTTGAGGGTTTTTTTTCCCTATGATCTTCTGTTCCTGTATTTACTTACATTCCTCTTGAGTTTTTGGTACTTTTCTTCTTCCCTTTTATTTATTTATTTATTTATTTTTTTGAGACAGAGTCTCACTTTGTTGCCCAGGCTAGAGTGAGTGGCCGTGGTGTCAGCCTAGCTCACAGCAACCTCAAACTCCTGGGCTCAAGTGGATCCTCCTGCTCCAGCCTCCCAAGTAGCTGGGACTACAGGCATGTGCCA